TTGGAGAAATTTATGGAGTACACTCGTAACCAAGAAGACTCACTTTTTAATTCTATGAATTCCAAACACGATGGAAGTATTCTTACTCATATTCATCAGAAGCAGATTTCTTACGCCCATTCTGAAGGATACCATAGTTACGTTTCAAGTACAGACTCCACTTCTACTCCTTTTTTGGATCGCTTGAGAAGAGATAGCGAAGCGGCAGTTGGAAGTTCTATCTCTTCCAACACTTGGGATGAGCTAAAGCCTGAAGACTCAAATAGTAGAAGTGAAGGAAGAGACAGTGTAGTTACTACAAGCTCCGGAAGTATTTCTTCTAGTGAAACACTCAAATGTCACGGTTCTATGAGTGATGTTTCTGTTACATCCCATAGTAGTTCTCGTAATAACTCTAACAGTTCAACTAAACAATTAATAGCTCATAGTGAGAGAGTTCAAACACCAAAAAGACATCATTCAGAAAGTGTGTTATATATGGTTGAGGAAAAGGAAAGTTCTTTAAAAACCAGGGCAGGCAGAAATTGTAACGTAAATAAACTTAAATTTTTCCCTTTAAACAATTACAACACATATATAGTACAGGAAAATGAAAACCAATCAGCTAATATCTCTAAAACTTCTAACCACAGGTAAGTTTACTTAGATTTTCCATTAGTAAATTTACCTATTTTTTACATTAGTAATTAAATTAGCGTTGACAAATAAAGACACAGCAATAAATGTAGTAATAAATATGTAGTTTATTATTTTAAACATTATATAAATATGTACTTTATTATGCACCATTTTAATTAAATATAGCAGGGGTCATATTTTAGTACGTAGATTGACTATCCAAACTTAAAAGTTAAACGATAAGGTCTTTCATGTAAAATTTTTCAGATTTTTTTTGTATTCGATAGTTCCGTAATACCAAGGAGAGATTTAAGTTCAGCTGTAATTAATAATATTCAATTCCAGAATGTAAGGTATAGCTGATATTTACGACGAATACATTGAATTAATTTTCGTAGTCTTCTTCAAGTGCCATCTCAGCGGCGGAGGTCTTCAATCATCATAGCTATTCAGACTTCTGAGACGGCTGCTCTGAAAAATTCACTTGATGTACATCCGTGCCACTCTCTCAGGTTGCGTAGCCATGATATTCTACTGACGTCATATTAAATTGATGGTTGATTATAATTGTTTAGTAATTGTTTAGTTTCTAACGATTAAATTTGCCTACCACATTAGATATCACTTGTAGGGGGTTAAAAGTGAGGACTGAGCATTTACAAGGCTGGAGATAGGGTAAGCAAACAAACCGAAACGTTTGCGAATGGGCACTCTTGTTTTGGTTGGAGAGCTGGGTTGTAAATAAGTGAATAAGGGAGGGACTGGATGGGGTGGTAACTACAAAGAAATAAAAAAAACTTACATAGATTTCCTGGGCAACACACAAAATAAGGTTCCCAAACTATTTGAAAAGGACGCCGTTTAAAAGAACCCTTTTGCTGGATAGAAATAAATACTTTTCTTTCCTAAAAAATACTAAAGGGTGAAAATCTTTTTAACGGAAATAATTCTACAACTCCTGGTTTAGAGAGAAACAGTACATATTTATTATTACTTCACATCAACAAGTATGACAAATAATAATAATTAAATTTGTCAACAAAACTTACAACAATGGTGCTATGTGTAACGATTTACAACAAGCTCCAGCACTTACAGGAGTTTAAATTATTATTAGAAATGAAAAATCTCTGAATTTTTCAACGCTTACATAGGGTTTACATTTGATCAAAAACAGATATCAAAAATATTGTTATGTACAGAATAATAAATAAATAGTAAATAATAGAAAATGATAATACTGACTGTCATATGTCGAAATGAAATATTAATTTATTTTGGAATATTAATTAATTATTGTTAACTTTATTTAAAAGAAGACTAATGACAATTAGCTAATCTATGAAACTTATAATTTTATTTATTTATAATTTTTGTTAGTTTGTCATAAAAAAAGGGCAGGGTGAACGAAGGAGCTTATTCCCGATCTGAGACCGTGGTGGGAATATAAGTTCAAGAAAATAGACTACTTCCTGGCGCAGTTTCTGACCAGACATGGTAGTTTTGGCATCTTCACAAATAGAATAGGCAAATCTGCCTCGGAGAACTGTGCTGTTTGTGGGGTACTGGACGCTCCCGCCCACATTTTTAACTTTTTACAAAAAAAGTACCTTATATCACTCTGGCTGGTATTTCCTTTAATAAGTTTTTGGGATTGGAATTGGATCAAAAACACTGTCACACACAAACTGTAAATGGTCTGGGACGACCATGGAACACAACAAAATGAACAAGTCTTGGGGAGGTAGGACACTGATTCGGGCTTCGAATTATCCTGGATGACAATAAACTGCACTTTTCAAAATTCGGCCTCTCAAACGCTCCTGCTTAAAACCAAGTGGACCTTGTCAAATTGCTGTAACGTTGCTTTACAAAACTCCTCGCATAGCAATCTATTTCTTCTCGCAAGCTATTTCTTCCGAATCAAAATCTTAACCTTCACTTAAACTCCACACTGCTACTATACTACACATTTTCCATAACAAAAACGAACAACGAACAAACAGTAACGAATTTGAAGTAAATCCGGACTAAACAATGAAACCAAAGGCTTTGGCGTTCCATCGTAGATTGATTTCATAATCTTCCCCGCAATACTTTCTCACCAACCTAAGTGGATATTTATTTGACCCGCAATATTAAGCGGAATCAACATCAAAAGAAGGCAATTAGTGTTTTTATATATAGACCAGAAATGTTTATATCAATCTCAGCGACGCAAAAAGGTTGAGAATATTTTTCGGTGTTTTAACATATACGAAAATCGAAATGCTACATGTTTATGTCAACAAACCACAACTTTAATTAAATGGTATGGTATTGGTCATCCTTCATATGCTATCTAATTTAATGTGTTAAGAAAAAACGTTACATATTTAAAATACGATATAATTAAGTTTAATAAATGATAAAGGTCTTTATTACCATCAAAAATGGGTGCCATATTTTCTAATATGGCATATTTTCCATATTTCATAATTAAATTAAATTAAATAATTCTTTGTTTGAAATGGATGCTGGTGTAATAATTATAGAAGGTATTTCAAACGAATTTGTGGACTTAAAAATATGATTATTGTCAACTAAATGTAAATCTGGTTTAATATTTTCACTATATTAAATTCAAAAATTGTTGAAAGAGAATCGCTTATTCTAAAGAATGATACTTGCAAAATGATATTAGAATTAGAAATAAAATGACATTTGCTTGATGGACTTGAAAGCTGGACAATGAAGCTGGACATTGAAGCAAGAACACATGAATAAGTTACAGTCCTTTGAAATGTGGTGTTACAGGAGGATGCTTAGAATAACATGGACACAGAAGAAAACTAACACGGAAGTATTACGAGTAATGAGGGGACAGCTATATGAACTGCTAAGGCTGATAATACAGAGAAAGATAAGAGGAGGAAGGAGTATAGGAAGAAGGAAAGTGTCATGGTTAAAGAATTTAAGGGACTGGTTTAAATGCAGTTCTGTAAAACTCTTTAGAGCAGAAGTAGATAAAGTAAAGATAGTGATGGTGATATCCAACCTCCGATTGGGAGACGGCACTAAAAGAAGAACATAGGATTATGCTTGGATGCATTCCTCTTTAGTACAAGTTTTTTCCTTCATTAAGTTTCTTTTCAGCTTTCTTCATAAATATGTTTCTGTACCAGTTTGTTGATTTTATAGTATTTGGTTAAGTCTTCTTGTTGAATATTGACGAGGAACCGCAAAGTGGGCGACGCCTGGTGGTAGATTTTAAAAGCATCCACTTCGGGAAAACATTGAAATTGTCATTATTTTGTATACATATTAGCGACCGGTTTATATTGTAATTAACAATAACTTCGACTTCAAAAAATTATTGCAGTGTTCCTCAATGCATCATATTATAATTCACAAAAAAATTCCATACATAAGTTTCCGTGGACATTTCATATGAGAAAAGTTTGGCAATGCATTTTGTGAATTGGCAAACATAACCAGTACGTGACTGTGTGCAGTTTACATTTTACTGAGAACAATTACTTTCCAAGTGTTGATTAAAATATTATTTATATTTTAATATATTTATACTTAATTTACTTTATAGTAACACCTGAAACTACATTAAGAAGACTGAAGAAAAATGCTGTTCCATCAGCTAAATTGCCCCAACGGTCTCATGAAGTTATTAGAAAACGTAAGGCGTAATTTACAAAATATAGTTCCTATGGTTCATTTCTTTGATCTGCCTGCTCCGTAATAAATGATGACTGCGAGCCTTGGTCAATCAATGCTCTCATCAATTGTGAGCTTCCTTTTAAGTCTCTTTCTCGTACTAATGCCGTTGCAATTATCACTTCTTCATTCTGATGACTTGAAACAGCTCACGGTATTCTCTTGTCTCCTTGACGATCCGTCGTAACTGTTGTCACTTCTGGTCCCACTAGAATTGGGTCTATTTTGTGGCCTTCTGTTTGCAGAATTTCTTCTGTTATCATACTGACCTTCTAACCCACTAGAATTTGGTCTATTTTGTGGCCTTCTGCTTTCAGAATTCCTTCTGTTATCATACTGACCTGACCCACTAGAATTTGGTCTATTTTGTGGCCTTCTGTTTTCAGAGTTCCTTCTGTTATCATACTGACCTTCTGACATGTGTAGTAATGAATGGTGCTGTCCACCACATTCTGCACATCTATGAGAGGAATAACATGGTACTTTCCTTTTGTGTAGTAGGCATCTACCGCACCATTGCTTTTCCTTTACGATTTTGTTTCTTTCACGTACTTGTTGACGTAGAAACGTTGTACAATTGAACAGTTTATGTTCTTCATGACACACCATACAGGTTATCTTCTTCTTTACCTGTTGTCTTTGATCTGTTCCTTTCCTTTCTGTTTCCAACGTCTCCAATGTCTGGAATCTTCTTTGTAGGAATTCCTATGTTGACTTATATGTCGGAATGTCCCTACTGTCTTGAATTGACGTTTCATATAGTCTCCTGGTTTCTGTGTCCCACTTTAACATGCTTATCCTTGCTATAAGGGGGCTCCAGGACTCTGTCATTATACCTAGTCCACTAATGGTTTCTAAACATTCGTGGAGAGTATCATGTAGTATTTTCAGCGCCTTTGCTGACGTTTCATTTATCTCATGAAGTACCTTCAGTCTATTAATATAAATAGATTCATCCTTGGATTATCGTACCGATCTTGCAACATTTTCCAGGCAGCACTGTAGTTTGCTTCTGTTGTGTTTAAATCTTGTATTATTCTACTTGCTTCTCCTCGAAGGCTTTTCTTCAGATACTGCATTTTTTCCATATTTGATAGTTGGTTATTCTCATGTATCAAACGTTTAAAAATGTCATAGAATGTTACCCAGGATTCATACCTTCCCTCAAAATAGGGTAACTTCACTTGGGGTAATATTGTTTTGTCTTTCCTGCATCCTTCCGCCTCTAATCTCTTGTTTTCTTTTATGATCGACCGCACGTTTCTTTTCATTGTATAAAATCTTTCTATTTCACCTTCTTCTAGTGCATCCTGTTCATTGTCCACAGTTATTTCTATTATTAAAGCATCTAGTTTTTGTACCTCTTCTTTTAAATCTTCTTGTATATCTTCATCAGTTTCGTCGTGTTCCAATAAATGATGCAGTTTTCCCATCCTAAATTCCCTAATTTTTGTCGAAGACTTGTACGAATTTTTAATAAATTCCTCTAAAGTCTTTTTCGTTTCTTCATATCTTTTTTGTACTTGTTCGTAAAAGTTAGATGTAAAATATTTATCATCTTCGAACCCTTCTCTTCAATTTCTGTGTTTTGATCTTCAAAGTCGTTCCACAATTTTTAGTTTTAGTTTTCGTAAATTATTTAAAAGCTTTGTAATTTCTTGGCCTAGTTTTTCTTGTTCTATATATAATCTTTACATTTCGGTTATGTAATTATATAAGTTTGACCTAAATTCAACTTTTAAAGTCTCAGCAAGATTACCTTACACAATGACGCAATGAACTTGTTACCTTGCTGATACGGAATATTGTACAAATTAAAGATTGTAATATTATCACTTGTAACGAGAAATTTATATATAAAAATGTAAGATACGGCATATTATGTAGAATTGAATAAACTCCAAATGTATAGGATAAAAATAACGATTCGTCACGATATTATGAAAATTAAATGTTTTAAGAATTTAAAATTATAAGAATCAAAATTATTGAATATAATTAATATCAAAATAATTAGGTTATTATATTTGAATTAGCTGTAGACGATGCATCTAAATAACGTCATCAAATTTTATTGGTAAGGATAAATGAATAACTAATTGAAGTAGTTCTAACAATAGGACCCGGTGGGGTATATAGTTGGGCCTTCATTAGATAATAGAATTCTTTGAATTGGCGTAATTAATTTACGAATGGAAAAGACTTCATTGTTTACTTTAATTTTCCCATTAGAATTTTGTAAAAGGTCATCTACCCATTCCTTGGTTGGTAAATATATGCATATTCAGTAATTTGTAATTCTGGATGAAAAAAATATTAATTGGATTAATTATACTGCCTATAGCTTCCAAGAATTCTTCCAGTTTTGGTCAATGGATATAATTTATTAATATAGTTTGTTGTTTGGTTAGAAATACCGTTGCCTTTTATTGTTTTGTAATTTGTGAGTATGACTTTGAGTTTATAGTGAGTACCTCACTAAATCAGATATATAAATTGTATTAGCCAATATTATTAATTTTGATAATTAACATGCTAGATTTTTAAAATCCGATCCTGTCTCCTATCAGTAAATTACCGATTGGGACAGGTTTTTTAGTTCAACTTTTTTTGAAAATTGAGATTTTGATTTTGTGTATTCCGTACCTATGAAGTTGCAATTTGTTGATAATAATAAATAAAAAAACGTTTACTTCAGCATAGGTGATGTAAAAAACTTTAATCACAATATGAATATTGCCAAACTTTTAGGGGGAGTCACCGTTAACGGAAAATTAATTAATAATTTAAGATATGCAGACGACACTGTGATCATAGCAACGAGTATAGAGGATCTACAACATCTTATCGAAAGCTTGAGTATAAATAGTGCTGAGATGGAAATTACTATAAACGCTAAAAAAACGAAGTACATGCTGATTACAAAAAGGCCACAAAATATACATCACCTATTGACAATAAATGGTAACGTGATAGAACAAGTAGAAAAATATCAGTATTTGGGAACTTTGATCAATGAAACCAATGATCATACTGTAGAAATAAACAAGCGAATAGCGATTGCCAGATCAGTATTTATACGAATGAAGTCACTTCTAACGTGCAAAAATCTAAATTTGGAGATCAGACTACGTACCATTCGCTGTTATATATTTTTAATATTATTATATGGAGCTGAGACTTGGACATTAAAAAAATGTAATTTAAAAAGAATCGAGGCCTTCGAACACTGGTTATACCGCAGAGTTTTAAAATATCATGGACTGATAGAATTACAAATAAAGAAGTACTGGAGAGGGTTGGTAAAGAAACAGAACTAATCACCACTATACAAACCAGAAAACTGGAATACCTAGGCCACGTGATGGGGGGACCAAAATATGATATTTTGAGACTGATAATACAGGGAAATATTCAAGGAAGAAGATATGTTGGCCGAAGGCAGAACTCATGGTTAAATAATCTACGTGATTGGTACCAATGTAGATCGATTGATTTGTTTAGAGCAGCAGGTTCTAAAATAAAACTAGCCATTATGATTGCCAACCTCCGTAGGGGGACGACACTCTAAGAAGAAGAAACTTTAATATAAAATTTATCACAATATACACAAATTGTAATATTTTACCGACTACTTCTGTAGTCTCCTAGCTGGCGTTTATCGGATTTTTTTAATAGTAGGATTTGATCACTAGTTCTCCGTTCTTCCAATACATATTGTTATATAATTTTGTTAATTAATGTTGGATCATTATATCATTATTGCTCCACAATATTTCATCAATTTATTTGGCTGGCTGTAGACTCTCTCCTTCTTTATCTGGGCTTGGGAGTGACAACAGTTCTCTTGATCTACTCGATCTACCCAACAGTAATACACGGAAGTTTTTCACAATTATTATGGGTACAGCTGTTTCGGCAAAGTACCTTTTTCAATTAATCTATTTTTGGTATGGGTTTACACTTTATAATGTTTAACTGAATAGTTTAAGATGAGGAGAACTTGGGTCTCAAGTTGGTCTTTCAGAATTGTGTTTGTATTTTTTAATTTGTTATTTTTCATAGATTATAATCAAGATAGCTCAAGGCCTTAATTTTTGACTTGAAATTTTTTGAATTTGAAATTCATCATTAAATGAATGATTATAATCTTGAAGGCGAAGTGCATATATAGAATCTGTTTTTTTTATTATTGAAAGCCCTTTTAGGTTCTGCTATACGTTTGTTAAAATTCTACCAGTTTGACCGATGTTCAAACTGTTTGACAACCCGATGTTAAACCCTATACTGACACGACTATACACAATGCATCATCCTTACACAACATAAATTGGCCTACCATAGCATGTTACATATATTAATAAAAATTCCGATGTTAAAATACAACTTTGAGATAGAATTAAATATAATTAAGCAAATAGCAGAAAATAATGAATACAACGAATAAACAATTTGAATAAAATTTTAAAACAAAAACTACATAAGAAAACTACATACGCACGTCACCTTATAGTCATAATCATTTATAATCATTCTTTTAATGACGAATTTCAAATTCTTCACATCCAAAATAAAGGCCTTAACCTATCTGTATTATAATGTATGAAAATTAACAAATTTTGTCTGTTTTATTAAAACAGTGTTTTATTATGGTTATTTATAAAAAATATACACCTACTTTTGAATAACCAACTTATCGTCTCATGAATCTATTTTAAAACTAAACTTCTAAATATCTTAACAATCCACTCTTAAAATTATCATACAGATATCATATGTGAAAGGTATGTTTACTATAAAAGTTGCTCTGTGTCATTGATAAATTTTACATGAACAAGTGTTTGTTACCTATTTCATTACAAATTACATATAATTATTATAAATTACGTTCTTAATTCCAATCATATTCATTTTAGGTTATCACTATCACTACAATCAGAATTATCAGTGGCAGATAGAGTAAGTGAATTGGAAAAACAACAGAAATATTCATATTATGATCCAGAAAAAAAACATAAATTTCCTGATCCTACACTTAAAGCTATACAGAAGAAAGCTCTTTTGTCATTTTACGAAAGACACAATAATCCCAACAAAAATTATTGGATATCAGAACCACAGCTTCCCCACACAAACCCCGTATATACCCAATCTCTTTTAAAATTAAAAACTCAAGTGGCGTCTAGACGAGCTTCATCTGCCTCCGATTATGTGGCGAGTAACTCCAAAAGGAGTAGTTTGGCATCTAATAAAGAAAAGATTGATCTTATATCACAAACAGTTCCTAGACATCAACATAATAATTCATGTGGAAGTTTATCGACTGATATCTTAGGACCTATTATAGTAGGTTCAGCAATATCCGTTGACGACTACGTTCCAGATCAACCACCTGAACGACCTCCGAAGCATCCTAATCTAAGAACCGCGTTTCCAGACTTATTTTTAGACCAAAGGGTTCCTAGTCCAGATTTACCACCTCCCTCCCCACCTACGGTTTTGGAAAATGAAGTGTTTAATAATGATGAACCTTTTCCCCCACCACCACCAGAATGCAAAAGCGATTGGCAGGAAGCATTTAGTGATACAGCAGAAATTTGTACTGGATATCAAATTCCCGCTTCACAAATGCCTTCGGAGTTGGAAATCAAAGTTATTGAACAAACAGTAGGTGGGTACAACGATTTTTATTTATTCTCTCAGTATAACTCACTAATACTGTCTATAGTTATTAATAATAACCTTATTTTTAAGCTATTATCTTGTGGAATTTTACATTTTGTAATTAATATATGATACAATTTAACTACAATTGTAAAATAGATCAAAAACCGTTTTCAAATGATGCCAAATATAATAATGCCCCGCTTGGTAGCCGGAAATATATACTGAATTTATAAGGGCGCATCAACAAAGCGAAATCATTATACCAATATATAAATATTTTTAATTTTTTTCTGAAATTGTAAAAATTATAAAATGTAAATTATAAACATTTGTTAATTACAAATTTATTTATTTGAGCGGGTGTGCGTGTGTGCGCGCGCACGCGACAACGAATCTTTTTGCCACAGAAAAATGCTACCTTGCACTACAAATACTAACTTGCAATGTAATTTGTTACAATTGTTTAATGAGTACATCTCCTTAATTTTTCTCTTTTTTTACCACACTTTTTTCTTTCATACTCAGTTTTGTGCGACGAAGTAGCTCCTCTACATATATCTGTATTGTGTATTTTTAAATGTACAAATATATACGAAACCGATAGTTTAACGCCACATCATTTGAAACAAAAGGTAGATATACTCACTGAGCTATCTGCAGCTTTTCACGTTTTACAATGGAGTTATAAATATATTGAACAATGTCTAACATCATCTGAGATATATTAAATTATTTACGTTTTTTTACGTAATTTCATTTTCATTTATTTTACTTACTTTAGTTTTTCATGTTAGAAATTTCAAAATTTTCGGCCCAGTACTTAGTTATATCCAACGTTTCTTGCTAGTTAAACCATATAGCTCATCACCGTCAAGTTTACAGGTCATTGGGTAGGTCAGGATATTTTTCATGTTTTAGCTGGTCATCATTATGTAGGAAGTTTTCTGTATACTCGAGTGTTTTTTGGTGGTTTTTATCCAAATTAAAGAGGATGAAACGCTGTCCTGAGCCAGGTTATTATTTTGTTTTCTTAATCGATTCTTTTCTCAGATTATCAAGAAATCAAGTCTCGATTCATTGATAAACATAAAAAAATCGCTTGTTTTGCAGTATGTAAGTACTCCACAATTTTTATCACGAGCTCATCTTTGACCGTATCATAAAGTTTTGTCGAAGGCGTTTTGTAATTCATATACGGAGCTCAGGTCGACCAATATAAGTTATTTGTTTACTTTCGTATCCCTTTTATATGTGTTATGTATATGAATTTTTTGGGACATGATTTACCTGTTCTGAACTCAGATTTTTTGCTGAGATTCTGATCGACTATATTTTCTATGCAGTTTATAATAAGTCTCATATATCTTGGAAATATGACAAAAATTTTTGGGTGAGTCTTTTTTACTGCGTTTAAAAGCGATATTACTTTAGATTGCCTAAGTTTCGGGATGCTGCAGCTGACAAAGATTTTTTTTAAAATCTGGGGGTTGAGTTCTTAGGTCGAGAACCATACATATATCATCCATGTCTACTGCCTTTCCATTTAAGTGGGTGGCTTTGTTTCTTTTTCTTCCTCATCTCTATAAGCAAATCTGTTTGTCATGGCTGATTTATATAGATGTGGAAGGTTATAACTTCATTTTTTCCGCGGTCGGCCGATACTTCTTATACTCTCTGGTCATTTATCTCTTTGATGGCTTTGTTTAGTTTATTAATTGTGAAAGGTGGATTGAGGCGATTTCTTTTAAATGAGGGTCTTCCATTTTTTTTAATTTTTGTGGTCTTTAGTAATTCCGTTTGGTAGAAGCTGGTGAACTACTTGGTATGATAATACTTTATGGGATTACCTAGATTCAGTGGGGTCAGCTGATCTTCTTAATAAGGTTCCAAGCCATTTTCTGCATCCTGCAAGGATTAAACATTATTTAGATAAAAGTTTCCATGTGACACTAGCCTTTGTATTTCGTACATATAATATATAAACGAACTTAAGAAAGCTCTTTCCTTGTTCGTTTCGTATTTTATACATATAATTTTTTTTCTTTCTTCTTCATTTTTATATTTACTCTTAGATAAAATAAAATAGGTCTGACTATTATATTGGAGGTTGTAAATTTTATTAAAATATCAAATATCTCTTCTTAGGTCTTTTTATCAATGTTTGAATTATGTTTATTCATTTTTGTGTTTTCTTAAACTTGTTGTATTATTATTTTCCAAGACAGATTTTAGTACGATATTGTAGTATCCTTGTAATAATACGACAATTACGGTAAATAGTTTAATTTTACTAAAATACCCATTAAAAGGGTGAACACAAATGTTTATATTTTTACAGCAATTTTACAAGTGTCCTTTTTTTAGGTTGACAGCTGACGGTTGCCAGACAGCCGTCAGCTAACTCCCTAAGGTCGGGTTCACACTGTCTAAGCTTACGACACTACAATACCTCCCCTCACAAATTCAAGCGCTGGGGTGGTTTAATATTACGCTTTAATCGTTCACTTATATTAACCTGACCCTTTTCAGTTGTAACTTCAGATGCAGTCTGAGGATAAGGCTGATCAGCTAAACTTTCACTGATTTTAATTTCTTCCTGTCCCAGAGTCTCATTCGTTTGAGAATAGGGCTCGTTTATTGACTCATTTAATAACAATTTTGGTTGGACATTCAAATGTATAGCACTAGGCCCCTGTTCGCCACTTGACCACTTATTTTCAAGACCTTCCCTATAAACTTTTTCAACCTGATCCTCCATACATCCGATTGATTCCGCCGAATTTGATTCAAATGCCTCTTCCAAATCAAATTCTCATGAATCAGTTTACACAAATAAATCCTATCATTTAAAACTTCATCTATTACACTCTCTACCCATATTTTTCTATTTGGATTTCGATAGTCCCTGCACCAAACTCTATCCCCCTCTACAAAACTATCTTCTCTTTTTCCTTTATAATTTAAAATTTGATTTTCAGCTTTTTCTTTTGATGAAACCCCTTTTAGAGACAATAAATCTAAACGTGTACGTACCTTAGTTTTAAACATCATACTGCTAGGTGACATATCAGTAGTAGCATGTATCGAATTTCGATATGAAAATAAATATCTGTAAATCAAAGTTTCCAGTTGCACATTTTTATTTTTTTCATCTGAAAGAGCTTTTTTTAATCCTAATTTAACCGATTTAACACAGTTTTCTGCAAACCCGTTAGTTGAGGGATGAGAGGGTGGAGATGTTACAAACTTAACTCCGTTATTACTCAAAAAATCAATAAAGTTTTCGGATGTTAATTGGGTCCCATTATCCGTTTCTACTATACGCGGTATACCAAAACGTGAAAAACATTCCCTAAATCTACTAATAGTATTTTCTGAATCAGGTGTGTTCATCACGAATACCTCTGGCCATTTAGTGTATGTGTCCACAATAATTAAAATTGTCTTTGTCCTAATGGGCCCTAGAAAATCAGCATGTATTTTTTCATAAATGTAGTGAGACTCCAGTGACTTCATCAGCTTAGCCTTAGGCGGATCTGGCCGCGATTGGCAACAAACTTTACAGTTATTGACCTGCTGCTCAATCTCGTTATCTAGCGATGGCCACCAGAAATAGGAACGGGCGCTGGACTTCATCTTCGTCATACCTTCATGATTACTGTGTAATTCTTTAAGTAACTGCCCTCTCAGTGCAACAGAAATTACCGCGCGATACCCCCACATTATAATTCCTTGCTCAATAAAAAGCTGCCTCCTAGCTATAAATGGTTTCAATAGTTCATTTTCTGTATGCTTCGGAAATCCATATCTAATACTTTGCCCAAAATTGGATCTGTTCTTGATTCTGATCTCAGTTTTATTGAATCTATAGGTATTAAACTCTCAACCATGTTTAAATAATCATATTCAGGCTCATCATTTTCATAGTCATCCTGTAAAGGCAATCGGGACAACGCATCTGCTCTTGAGTTATCCACTCCTCTGATAAACCTAAAAGTGTAATCAAAACCAGCTAGAAATAAAGACCATCTTTGAATTCGACCCGCCGCCATTTTCGGTAGGCTTTTATATTCACCAAAGATCGATTTCAATGGTTTGTGATCACTTAATATTTCGAACTTCCGTCCCGCCAAATATTGGTACAATTTAGATACCGACCAGTAGACAGCCAGAGCCTCCTTCATAATTTGAGAATAATTTCGCTCTGCTTTGTTTAATACCCTCGAGATATAGCATATAGGCCTCTCACTCCCATCTGGTAAAACATGAGACAGAACTCCTCCGATTCCATAATCACTCGCATCACACGCTAAACGAATTGGTTTATCTGGGTCATAATGTACTAAAATCTTTTGTGAAGCAAACTCAGTCTTTGCATATTGAAAAGTATTTTCACATTGTTTTGTCCATTTAAATTTTTTCATTTTCCCTACTAACTCATATAAGGGTTTTAATTTCCCTTGTAAATTTCCACAAAAACGAGAATAATAATTTATCATTCCCGCGAAAGCCCTAACCTCTGTAATATTTTTGGGTCTAGAAGCACTTATGGTTGCCCTTACCTTTTCTTCGTCTTTTTCTAACCCATTTTGTGATATTTTGTGTCCCAAATAATAAATATTTTCCTTGAAAAATTCGCATTTTTTTTTCGTTTAATCTAAACCCTGCTCTTTCTAGTCGCTTTAACACCTCCTCCAAGTTTTCTAAATGCTCTCTATCGTCTTTCCCTGTTACTACTACATCGTCCAGAAAATTTACTGTACCCCGACACCCCTGCAAAACCTTTTCAATTACATTTTAAAAAATAGAACAGGCTGGCTTCGTGCCATAAGGTAACCGCTTTATTCTATATATACCTAGAGGTGTGCTCCAAGATAATAACTCACTAGTTGTATCATCTAGTACTAACTGGTTATAAGCATTGAGAAAATCGAGTTTTGAATATTTTTGTCCTCCTTGTAACGCGGCGAAAATGTCCTCAATACGGGGCAATGGATGGTTGAA